ATCTCGAAGACCTGACACCGTGTGGCTTCCTTCAGCAGGACTCCTGCATTAAATATGCTAACTGGACCACGTGCAGAAAACCAGTCCTTGAGTTTCTTAGAGAAGGATGAATAGAAAATGTCGTTAGCCACTTTAAAAATGAGGAACTTAGAAGATGGGTCTCCCATCACTGTAGACTCACCTTATTCACTAATAATGACCGCTGCTGCTTTCGTAGACAGAGGAAAGTGAGACTGTCTTACATACCATTTTCCCTTGTCTTTCAGCATCAACATAGAGGCAGGAAGAAAAAGTGTGAGGCTTAAATGTAATGTTCTGCTCTTGAATGCCAGACTCTGTGGATTAAACTTCGTAGCTCTTTTCAGTGAGGGCTCAGGTCAACAATCACAGAGGACACCAGTTCCTAGAACCTGTCCTCAGAAACTAATGACCTGGTAGGCCAGCCCTTTGGGAAGGAAACCCGCCTCATCCTGATCACTGTTGTGCTCATCCATTGGAATGGAAGAGTGATTGAGTTGGGCCATGGGTCTTGCCCACTAGGTGGTGGTGTGAGATACAGCAGAAGGACCGTTGGTTTGGGGGGCAAATGTCTGGGTCCTTTGGACATGTTTCAAATTGTTAACTTTCCAGAGCATCAGACTTCTCTTTGGAAAGAGCACTGGTCTCCAAATCTCATGGGATTGTTGTGAGGACCACTTGGGACCATGTGTCTGAAAGGAGTGTAAAGATGACAGAGCCCTATCCATAAGTGAAGCTTACTGTAATTGTCCTTGAACTTTTAACTTTGCATCCTAATCCCTGGGCATTCAGGAGCTAATCTTGACGAATTCAACTTCCTACAAGATGCTACCTTTAGCCTCTGTGACCCGGGGTCCTATATTCTCTATTGGGAGCTCATAGCTGAGGCAGTAACATGGCACCGGACCTATTTCCTCTTCAGAAAAGGGGACTGATCTGTCCTGTTAGTTGTGTTATTTCAGGCATCCTTCCTCCTAGATGGACTGTGGAATGCCAAGCTCTGCATGCAGGCTGAAGTGACACAAGAGGGAGAATCACAACAGGATGTGAAATCAAGCCTTGGACTTAGGATAAAAAGAATATCTCGAGGTCAGAACGACCTCCGAATGACAAGCCCACCTGTCCCCACTCTGCTTTTAAAAGTACTTTGTATCTCTTATCTCTTGCAGGTACCTGTACAGGTTTCCTTTGTCAGGTAGCTTTCCAGAAGAGTTCCACCGAGATCCTTTTTCGGAGAAGTGTCTTAGAGCAGCCAAGGAAGGGGTGCTTGTGTGGCTCAGTCACTTAAATGCCAGTTCAGATGGGCAAAGGGAAGTCCTCAGGACCTTGAATCTCTGGGTGGGGAAAAGCTTCCACCTGCCCCCAGATCCTCCCTCTTTTCTTGACACAGCATGAATCGAGGGGAGATGAGTGCTGCTCCCCAACACGCATTCACCAAGCAGCTGTTTCTCGCCACCTACTGTGTCAGTCACTGTAGTTCATGCCAGTGAACAGCATGGGCCGACAGACATCCTTTCTATTATCCCCATCTTCTGAAGAAGCAAACGGAGCACATGGAGCGGCAGTAACTTTCTCAAGGTCATAGAGACAGTCTGGAATGTAGGCCTTCTGTCTCCCCAGCCTGAGCTCCTGGCCACATGGTAGGACTCTCACAGTCCACACTAATCAAAGAGGCTGTTGAGAATCTGAGGGAAGCCTTTGGGGTGGTTAACTTCATGGGTCAGTGTGGCTGTAATCCCCAGATATTTAGTCAAACATTCTAGAAGTTTCTGTGAAGTTATTTTTTAGGTGAGATTGACATTTGCCTTACTAGATATTGAACAAACCAGACTGCCCTCCATAATGGGGGTGAGCCCCATCCACTCCACTGAAGGCCTTCCTTGCTGGAAGGAATGGAACTTAAGCCAGCAGACCACATCTGGACTCAAACTGCAACTCTTCCCTGGGCCTCCAGCTGCAGACTTACTGTGCAGATATTGGACTTGACCATCTCCACAAACTCATGGACCACTTCCTCAAAATAAACTGCTATATACACACATACTACTGATTCCATTTCTCTGGAGAGCTCTGACTCAGCCAGGTCCCAGAGAAGTTCTCTCTCCAATTCCCATTTGTCCTGGGCATGCAGGCACCGCCCGTCATGCCAGACATTCACAGTACAATTCACTTTGTCATCAGGATCCTCACTTCTGTTACACACCAGTCTTGTCTCCTGGAGGATGACAACATTTGTGAAACACCTTGCTCGGCCAGCAGTGTTTTCTAAGACCTGAATTTGGATGGGTTTGCGTGTCGTGGTCTACGAAGTGAGTCTTTTCTCCTTTTCTTGTACTCGCAATCTCAGGCTCTGCTTGCTTCCGCCAACACCCAGGCACCCTGCAACTGGCCTTTTAAATGTAGCCAGAGGCAGAGTGGCCAGCCTACGCACCACTTTGCAACTGAAGTGGATCACACTTGATGTTGGTACTTCAGCTGGGCAGCCGAGAGCCCGGGAGAGCACAGAGTAGCTGAGCTGCTTCTGTTCCGTGTTCTCCAGCTGCTCCTGCCCCTTACAGCCTCACGGTTCTTGAAGCCCACTTTGGTTTGTGGCCAGTTGAGCTCCTGTGACAGGTGCCGTCTCCTCCTGGTGGAATGAGAATGCCTGGCTCCTACCCACTGGTGCAAGGCGCTCCTGGACAACTGACCAGCTTGTGAGGTTACTGTTGATGCTGTAGCTCTCTTCATTCAGTTTCTCTGCCGAGCTGCTCATCCGTGGCATCCTGCCTGTGACAGCAAAGCATTGCATGGGGGGAGGATCAGGATGTGGCTTCACACTCAGCTGCCTCCCGCTGACACTACAAGTGATGCCTTGTAGACATTCACAGCCGCCATAGCAGCGTCCTGGGCCTCTCCTGGTCCTTGCCCCCATACACAGGTGTCTTGGGCAGGTAGAGTCTGGAGGGAGACCAAGACACTCCAGAATCAAAGATCCAGTGGGATTAGGTGTCTTGCCCAAGATCACACACACAAACTGGTGGAATGGATAACCGATGCAAAATCCTATACTGTGGAGTGTGGATGATATTTTAGGTTTCATTTAGAGATTTTTGTTAATTTTTCAAATCTGAGTTTAGGCTATATTGAAGTCTCTTTGTCTTAATCCTTGCACTTCCAAAAAGGTATCACAGAAACATAAAACAATATATATATATATATATATATATATATATATATATATATATATGCATAGAGATGTTAACCCCCCTCTCCTTCTAGGTACCACCTCATTTCTCTCCTCCACTTCACAAACAAGCTTCCCAAAGTGACTTTGTGTACACAGGGGCCCTGAGTCCCGTGCTTGTGTTTCCTCTTCCACCTGCTCCTTTCTGGTTTCTGCCCCACCGATTCCACTGAACCAGATCTTGCTCAGGTCACCAATGGCATCTGTTTGCAGAGCCCCTGGGACAGACTGTTGGCACCTGTCCTGCAAGCACGACTTTGACCTTCTTCCCTGCAGGAGTCTGTCCCCGTGTGTCATCATGCTTGTGTGTCCTTTCAACTGCACTAGCCACTCCATCACAGACTCTCCTCTTGCCTGACCTTCAAATGTTGAGGGTCTGCAGAACCACATTTAGGTCCTCTTCCCGTTGTCCTCCCTGCATAGCAGTGACCACATGCACTCCCTTGCCCTCATCCCAGATACGCAATAAAGAATTTCAAATGAATACCACCCGCCCCCAGGGCATTTTTTGTTCAGTCTAGACCCTTAAGCCCAACCAGCAGCAAGACCTACGTAAGTAAGGATCTCCCAGGGACCCTGCAAAGGATGTTTAGCTTCCCTCCACCCCACAGTATTTGTATTTAAAGTTTCTAAGTAAGAACATCATTTTCCTTTACATCTTTTTGAGTTCTATACAATAATTGAAAGCTAAAAACTATTTTTTCTCTCTGTAAGTCTCTTAGTGAGACTGAATGTTTGGAAACAGAAGTTGTCTCGTTAGATTTCCTGAGCTGTGCTTCTGAAAGGTGATTCTGCAATCTGCCACACCGACACTCAGTTTACATAGGAAATTACTGAATGAATGAATAAATAGATAAATAGTAACATCCATTCTTCCAGTTGGCTTTGAAAACAAGTACTTGGATTTAGTTTTAAGAGTAAACAGACTCAGGGACCTGGGTGGCTCAGTCCATTAAGAGTCCAGCTCTTGATTTTGGCTCAGGTCATTTTCTCAGGGTCACGAAATGGAGACCCTCCACTCTCACCCCTGGCCTGCATGGGGGTCTGGGCACAGAGCCTGCCCAAGATTCTCTCCCTCTCCCTCTGCCCACGTTCCGCTGTCCCCATCATACTCTTTCTGTCTCTCTCAAAAGAAGAAAGAAAGAAAAGAAGAAAGAAAGACACAAAACCAAAAAAACAGACTCAAGAAGTTGTCTTTGATAAGAATTAATTATGAAAAATGCATATTTAATACATTGAAAAGATGAAATGTTTTCTAAATTTTAATACAAATTAAAGCAAATATTTAATATGAAAATATAAATATAAATACGATAAGTCACAAGAGTGAATGAAGAAGAAAGAAAGAAAGAACGAACGAACATCAGGGCAGTCATCTCTTAGGGACAGGTGATCCTGAAGCTGGATTTTTTTTTTTTTTAAGATTTTATTTATTTATTTGACAGATCACAAGTAGGCAGAGAGGCAGGCAGAGAGAGAGGAGGAAGCAGGCTCCCCGCTGAGCAGAGAGCCCAATGCGGGGCTCGATTCCAGGACCCCGAGATCATGAACCAAGCCGAAGGCAGCGGCTTAACCCACTGAGCCACCCAGGCGCCCCCTGAAGCTGGATTTTAAACACGTTCTTGCTTACTACTACTCAGAACACACTTGGCGGAATTAAAGTCAATAAATTCTGACATGAAACCAGGAATGACAGCCTCTTGCAGTGACCAGACATATGTGTGGGGGTCATATGGCACATTCGTCCCCGAGAATCATTTCAAGGTGACCCCAGGTCTCCATCCTTAATTCCTAACCTACTTTGCAAGCTGGTGGCTGAAGACAAGGAACTCACGATTTCCGCTCTGACGATTCCCCAGGCGCAGTCGCTGTCCTTCTTCTCTTCCAGGAGGAGAGGAATTTCCTGGAAGTACCTCTTTGGGGCGGGTGTGGGGCGGTCCATTCCCAGGGCTAGCTCTCCCCACCGCCCGCCCAGCAAACAGGTGTCCAGATCTTGCCGCGGCCAATGGAGGCCAGAGCGCAGCTGGTCCAGCAGGGGGCGCTCCAGGCAGCCGAGGCGCGCTCCGTGTGCAAGAGGTTGAAGGTCCGCTGGAGCCGCTTGTGAAGGACAGACCTGGCCTGGGCCTCCCGCCGCTGGCTGCATTCCACCATCTCCCGCGGGAATCTGAAGGCTTTTCAGTCCTGCAGACCGAAGAAAGGGGAGAGTCTCCTCATCTGGCCCAGAAGCACGAAGTTCTCCCTGCTCACCAGTGCGTGGCTCTGAGGCAGGACATAGCCCTGAGAGCCCCCAGGGCCTCTTGTGAGCACCCCGAGGGCGGGGCGCAGAGGGCGCAGGAGGACCGTGGGGAACATGAGGCCTCCAGGCCTGGCCAGGCTGGGCGTGCAGGGAACCTGGGAGCCGAGGTTCTCTGTTTGCCACATAGCTTTTCAATGGGGAGCACAGAAAATTTCATTTTCTGAACACTCGTCTCTGCTTTTACTTCCTATTTTTTGTTTTCCTTTATGTAGTCTCCATATGGTCTAAGAAGATGTCATCAAACTAGACTATGACTTTCACAACAGAAGCTTATTTTCCCAGTAAACTTCCGATGGGTCCATCTGCGTGGATACTTACCAGTCAAATGAGAGACATCTTTGTCCTAAAGACCGAGGTGGTGCAGGAATGTAAGGACTCATGCACACACCCCGACATACATACCTGTTTTACTCTTCTTTGTGTGAGGAACAAATCTGGCCTTGATTCTGCACTAAGGTTTTACCCTCCTTCCCTTACACAGGGAGATGGGCTCCTTCCTCTCTATGGATTTGTATCTTGTTAGGTACTGATCAGACCAAGTATGGTACACAAGTTCTCTAGAACCAGGACTGAGTTTTATTTACTGTTATATTCACAACAAAGTCTTATGGTAATGAGTGAATGGGTTTCTCTGATGTTTCTCTTCATTCTAGAAATAACTGGTGCAGATCCATGTGGTTACGGTTCACGGGGACCTCAAGGGCAAGACTAGTACAGGCACTGTCCTTTCTTTCTGACATTTTGTAACCTGTCTACACTGCTCCTAGGCTGTGCCAGTGCCCCCAAGAGGAAGGCTGATTCTTGTCCGGGACGAGGAGGTGTCAAAGTTCTAATTCCAGATGACTGGATTTTCCCAGCAGCACCTCACTGACAAGGTAGTTATCACCCCTACTAACATATTTCTTCTGGAGTGACTGAGTGTCCTCCGCCCAGGCTCTCCTGGACTCACTCCCAGACGACAGGCTCACCATGTCCCTCAGGATTCTTCTAGATTCTTCTACCGTGCAGGAGGTGGTTTCCTTGTTAGCAAAGCACTTACTGCCCCTAGATCCTTGCCCTTGCCCCTGGAGTATTTGTGTCGGGAACCCTCTCAGTGCTGACCTCCTCCTCTCCTGACCAGAAGAAGGTGTCTACAGCCCTCAGATGCTGAGGGTGAACATTTTCTCCAAGTAGAGGAAGGACCTGATTATAATCACTTCACCTTGAGTAAGGGAATTTATTTATTTTGCCACCACAGCTCTTACTTTCCAGTTTTTTCATTTTCTTTTTTTTAAAGTAAGCTCCACACCCAGCGTGGAGCCCAATGTGGGGCTTGAAATTACAGTCTGACCTCAAGACCTGAGCTGAGATCAAGAGTCATGGATGCTCAACCGGCTGAGCTACCCAGGTGTCAAGACTGAAAAACAGCCATCCCCGACTCTCATGGCTGACTCCCATCCATGACTTGTTAATCTCCCCTTTGGAGGTCAGTTACTAAAGCAGAGGACACCTAGTTCTGAATAATTTTGTAGGAAGAGACAAATAATATCCTCATATATCGCTGTCAGCATTAAAATAAGACTAGAGCTACAATATTCAAGCTGCTCCTTATGGAAGATGCAAGGCAAGGGTTCATCTAAGCGCGTGCGTTCCGTGAATATTCACGCTCTTCTGTCATAATTGCTAAATCTGTTTTACTCCTGAATTACGCACAACTCACTATTGCTCCACGGATTTCCATGATTCATATTGTATTTTTCAGCTGATTTTGACCAATTTTTTTCTTTGCTTAAAATACTAAGAAAGAAAATGCCTGACCCATCTACCCATTCTCATTTTTGAAGAAAGTCTGTCAGTCTCAGTCATTCCAGGAACATTTATTTTATCCGTAGTCATAGATAATTTTTTGAAGGATTGAATGAGTTATCTATTCCCGCCTAGTGAGTTCTTAAAGCCGAGCAGCTCGCTGATGTGCAAGTTAGTAAGAACCAAGACAGGATAAACCATTGTAAGTAATTAAGTCATGATTTACACTAACTACAGTATTAAACACAGTAACATAATTTGCTAGAACATCCATTCCATGAAATCACTCAGGAAAAAAATATGGCATAAAAGGGCAAATTATGCCCAGAATAATGAACCCCATTATTCCTAGATCCCATGCAATATTCTTCTCCAAGTCAGACACACTGACTTCTCTTACTCATGCTCCCACCCGCTCCAGGGTGGTCTCTGCTTATGCATCCCACCAAACGGACTCTCAGGAAGGTCAGCAAAGGCATCTGTGTTTCTGACATCACACGCAGTTTCAATCCATATCTTCCAGGAATCCGCTGATGGTCTTCGAAGCACATTTACGTCCTTAAAGACACTCACCAGCATCCTCTTTTATCCCTGTGCTGTATGGCCACGAGTCCACCTTCTCCTTTGTGGCTCTTCTCTCCCCTCCCTTCAATGGTTGAAGAGCCTCAGAATCAAGTTTATGTCTGTTTCTCACACGACACGGTCTCCCTGAGTGACCACCTCTGATTCTGGCTTTGCCTGCTCAATGTGGACCTCAGCCATGGCGTTTCTTGTCAAGATGACAGCTCACCAACCCCTGACACTGGACATACGTGCCTTCATGTCTGTCAGTGGCCTGTTGAGGGGTCTGCAGCTTTTCTGTGTACTTCCTGAACTTCTCCGTTCTAGCAGCAGGTGAGAGAAGTCACGTCCTTTCCTTCTTCATTAGAACACTAGGTAGGAGGATTGTTTTCAGATTCCCATCCCTACAGCAACCAAAGATGTAGACATCAGGACTATATTTATTATCTCCTATAGCCTAAGGGCAACATGCAAGTTGTCTTAGAGAAAGTCAGTTGTTATTTCCAATGTTAATGTAGTATGATGGTAAATGCATTCTGCCGTCTAATTTCTAATTAAGTTGCACAATTAGACCGGGTGTGACTCTTTGAAAACACTTTCTGTAGTAAAAGTTCCACAAAGAAAAACATTATAAACTGATTATATATTAAAAATATATTTTATTATATTCTGCTATGTAAAGGTGCACATAATATTATAGGAAAAATCTGAAGCTTATCAATTTTTACATAAATAAATATTTAAATAGATAAATAGACACGAGTAAGGTCATCTGTAAGCGACTACTGCTTGTAGAGTTGACATGTTCTGAAAACACTTGACAAATTGACCCTGTTCATGTCTTTGCGACAGCAGAAATGAGGGTCTCTGATACGGCAGAACTCCAGAATGTGTGATGTTATCAGTGAGAGGGAATCATTTCCATGTTGAAAGGGGTGTCACTTCCCACTCCTTAGTCTCTTATGCAAGGCTGTTGATGCATACAAGGGTTTCATGATCTCTGCTCGGACCATCTCCCAGGCACAAGGGCTGTATTGCTTCTCTTGCAGATAGAGGGAGATTCTCTGGAAGTAGTTCCTCAGGATGGAGTTCCCACTCACCAGGGGCGTCTCTCCCACCCCCGCCTCCTGCAGGGGACAGGCTTCCAGGTGGCCCAGCTGCTCAGAAAGTCCTGAGCACAATTCCTCCAGGAGGGTCGTGTTCCAGGGAGCAGGTGAGGCCTCTGTGCAGAAGAGGTGGAAGGTCTTCTGGTTCGTCACATGGATGACAGAGAGGGCTTGAGCCTTCTGCAGCTGCTTGCCGTCAAACACCTCCTGGGGGAAGCCAAAGTCGTTTGCGTAGTTGTCACAGAAGCTAGCAGATAGACTCTTCATTTGTTGCAGGAGCATCAAGGCCCTCCAGTGCAGCAGGCCGTGGTCCTGAGGCAGGTCACATCCCAGAGAGCCGAGGGAGTGGCAACTGAGCACCACCAGGGCCCCCAAGAAGGAATAGGGCAGGGCCATTGGGGATTCTGCAGGTGCTATTGGCCTGGCTGGGGTGGGCACGTCTGGGACCTGTGGCTCTAGATTCTCTGAACATCTTCTCTTGTGCGTGAGGCTTAAGTAGGGGACATAGGAGTTTTCAATTTCTGAACGTTTCCCTTACTTTCTACTTCTCTTTTTGCTTTCCTTACTACACTTTCTACTTGGGTTTAGAGCATGGATTTCTCAACTGTTTCTTTTTCCTATTGCTGTCTCCTGTCACAGTCTTTCGAATATTTATGTAATTGAACCTTCCAACAAAACATGGTAACACGGATCTAGAGTCTATATTGTTATGTATTTATAGCTCTGCTTTATAGATTGAAAAAGGCAGAGTTCATTTTACTCTGTTTAATTCAGAATTAAGATTGACTAAAAATTTCAACTGAAAGCTAAGTTTTGTTTTTTTGTTTTTAGATTTTATTTATTTGACAGAGACAGAGAGGTCACAAGCAGGCAGAGAGGCAGGCAGAGAGAGAGGGCAAGTAGGCTGAGCAGAGAGCCTGATGCAGGCCTGGATCCCAGGACCCTGAGATCATGGCCTGAGCTGAAGGCAGAGGCTTAACTCACCGAGTCACCCAGGTGCCCTCAACTGAAAGCTAAGTTTTAAAGCTATTTATCCTTCACTGGATATCTAAATTTGATTAGTGACTTCTAATTTTTTACTTATTTAAATAGAAATGTAAAAGTGAGATGCAAAGTAAGAGTTTCTAGAAAGACATAATAATTATATCAATGTACTTAAATATTTAGAATCATTCCAAATTGCTATAGCCAATGAAAAGTTAACTTATTTATTGGATTTTTCTTTTCAGTGTACTGTATTTTAATGTGGCCTCAATGAGAAAATGATTTTGACTTCACTTGCAGCTAGATATTCATCATGTTATTCTCAGAATATTTTTAAATTTAGCACTAGATAGGATTACTGATGCATTGAGTAAGTTTCGAAGAACTAAATTGTAAAGTACAATCTATTTGTATTTATTTCCAAAGCCCGCATCACAACAGGGGTCAAACATCAATGATGTCCACAAGTTAGCCAATGGCAGCTCAAAGTAAGCAAAGATCACCTGTCCAGGTAAGATTCTGAGGTCCAGGAAATGATGGAGAGACACTCCTCCACTCCTATGTTATTCCTGGTATTCCTAGGTGTGGCACTATCTTGCGACATTTCATGTATCTTCCACAAATTCCATGACTGTGATTCTTGTGTAATACCCAAGAAAACCCAATGACAGACAGTAAGTACTGAGCAC